AAATATTTAATAGAACTTACAAACAGCAAAAAGCAGTGCACAAAAACAGGCGGGTTGAAAATATGAAGCAATAATACAAAGATCTAAAAGGAGCACAAAGAAGGCTAGGAACAACACAGTCAGAGAAGCACAGGAAATGACCACAGAGGAGTTACAGGTGGGGGGCAGTGGGGCCAGACAATCACAAAATCGGGGGGAAATTAACAAAGGCAGGAAGTAAAAACCACAATGAGGGAAACTAACCTTCGATGGCTCTGACGTGGCCACTGAAGCTGATCGCGCCAACTCAACACAATGCTTCCTTGTGTATTTTATAAGCGTCCCCATGGTGCCAGGTCTATTTTTTAGGAGGCTGCACAGAGCAGGTGAAGAGGGCAGGAAGTCAGATACAAGCAGTACATAGGGAATCCAGGGAATTTTCAAAATAAAAGACCCCACACAGACTAAAGGCTCTGTTTCTGAAATGCTCCCAGTGGGATTTGAAGCTGTGCAAAGGATGGAACAAAACAGTGATGGGAACGTGACATTAAATCCAGTGTATTCCCAGGGTAATGCTGACCAAAAGTAAGTGACAGACAGGGACATACAGAAGGCAGGAGGAAACGGGAAGTGGAAACGGAAAGGAGTAAAATAAAACGAATGATTACTTGTAGAATGATACAAACCAGATGTTTTGCACTGTGCAGCAACCCCTCTTCTTTTGACAAGAGTCTGTAACACATCTTCTTTGCATAATACAAGTTTTTACGAGTTCTATTTTTGTGTTTTTGAGCCCTTTCACTGATGTCCACAACAGAAATGTGACTGTTTTTGATGCAATGCTGTATGAGGGCCTGAAGATCCCAATCCAGTACTGATTTTCAGCCTTGTGCTTTGCGCACAGAGATTCCTCCAGATTTTCTGAATCTTTTGATGATATTATGGACTGTAGATGATGAGATATTCAAAAGTCTATACATACAGGACAATATTCTGAAATTGTTCCAGAATTTGTGTTTTTTTGTTGATTTATTTAAGATGTTGTTTTTTGTTTTTTGTTTTAATACCCAATCACGTTGCTGACCTGCTGCCAATGAACCTGATTGTCTGCAAGATGTTCGTTCTTTTTAGGTAGCACTTACTTTTCCAACCTTTTACTGTTTTACTTAATCAAATGTACGAGTTAAACCTTTCATTAAAATATGAAACTGTCTTAGTTTAAACATTTAATGTTTTCTTTGTTCTACTGTAAATAAAATATGAGTTTATACGTTTTTTGAATCACTGCATCACACAGCGTACCAACTTTTTGGGGGAATTGAGTTTGTACATTTCATTCAAAATTCCTGCCCAGCCTTCTGCGTGGGAGTTTGCTTGAACCCATCTTCCCTAAACTAACAATACCTATTTCCAGTGACAGAGAGATGGTGCAGTTGCTGGTGCCTTTTGAGAAGCTGCAGGCTGACAGGTTTGAGAAGCGATTGTTAGGACAGTTGGGGAAATTAAGATGGGAAGAGAATCCTGGCGGACAGAATCTGCAAGCTGCATCCGTGAATTATCGATGAATTTCCTGGAGCATCCTCTCCTTTAGCTACTCATGTCAGCGCACCATACAACACAGGACTACAACATTAGCTAAAAGTGAGGGTACATCAAAGCTAACACAGCACATAAAAATGTGAAGTAGTTGATCCATTGTTCACATTGTTTCTCTTAATCACTCCAGGACTATTGTAGTGATAGTGATGAATTAAAGAAGAGCTAACTAGGAGATGTTATATTAGTAAATCATTGGGTACCGGTTACTTCAACATTTGTTCCTATTTTTGTACTCCATATTTTGTATTTAATTTAACTGACACACAGTGAATTTTGGAGTCTTTGAGGCCTTTATGAGCTAAATATCCATAAATGCAACATGAAAGGTGCTTTTACATGTTGTTCTTACACCACACCTGTTATCAGTTATGGGACATTAAAAGTGGGTACACTGTCTGCTGCTTGATCTTTGTGTAGACCGTGCATGAAAGAACTTTTAATTCCTTTTTCTTGCACTCTGTAGTTTTGCTCTTTGGTTATTAGCAATATGAATAGCAAATGATTTCAAACTCAAGCCAACATCTTCTTCGAGGCTGGGATCCAGTGGTAACAGCTGCACAAGTTTCCTTAGAGCTCCAGATGGGGGTGTCTAAATACTTTTGGTTATACAGTGTATTACAGTACTGCAGGGACTTGGCACTGACATATACTGTGTATGCGATGATGCTCTAGCATGACTTTGTGGATCAATAGATTTCCTATAGGCTAATTTTTGTAAAACATTCCTGTCTGTGACCTTAATTCAATGTCCATATTTATAAAGGTGCTAGAGGAACTAGCACTGTTTGGCTGTTAAATATCAGTTATTGTATTGCACTCGCTTTCTGCACCTGTCAGTCACCATCATCATCAGAATAAATTGGATGTTTCTCAGATACCGTTATCGATTTATCTCTATCTCAGCTCACCACGCCGGGGCACCCGAATGGCCCCAGATATCGACCTGCAGGCCTATTAAAACCTCCTTGGGAACATCATCCTATAAGACCTTTTTTTCAAGTCATGAAATCAATGTTTTCAACCAGATAGAAGAGAACACATGTCACCAGCTGCAGAGTACAAATCAGCTGGAATAACTTGAAATATTTACATATGCATGACTAAAAATGTTTAGGCTGCTGTTTAAAGGATTTGGCTTTTCACTGAAGACTTTTAAAATTTGATGTTTTAGAAGAGATTTTAATCATATGGACAGGAGCAACATGAGGTCATAGGATATATTCAGCACCGGCGCCTCCATTTATTTGCTCTGTTTGGCCTTTCTTGGTGTAGGTGCTGAATCCTGGGCCTTTATCTTTGCTAACGGCAGCAGAAACTGACTTCTTTAATGCCACATCTAACCAAAGGGCTGCAGAAATGTCAGGCAGCCGACGGCCAGAAAACACACACAACACACATGCACACGCGCACGCGCACACACAACACACACGCACACACACACATACACACTCCTACAGTCATGCCTTGGAAAATTCTGTGTAAACTCTGCCAACTTTGAAAAAACAGTGCCAATGTGACCTTTACATTCATATACAGGCACACATACGGTTTCTTATAGCTTATGTTTTTTAATGGATCTCCAAAGTTTGCTTTTCTCATTACTTATCAGGAAAAAAATGGCAAATTAACTGAAGAGGAGAAACGCTGCTCATATTACTTTTACTTCTTTTCATCTTACTGGCAGACGTTAGCATCCATATTTACTGTTTCCTGCATGAATCGTGCAAATTTTCAATAAACTGTGTTGCAGCATTTCACACAAATGCATCCAGCTACCCATAATGTGTTCGTATGGGTGAGTACTTTATGGCATTTTTGCATGCATAAAAAATAATAAGCAAGGAAAATTATATAGTTGACTGATGGAATTCCTTAAAATAGTGGTTTAGGTATCTTTTCTCAAATTACAAAATAATACAATAAGTACATTTAAAAAATGCAAACTTACATATAAGTTTGAAAACATAATTAAAATTTAACAGCAAAATAAAACAATTGAATCTCTTTAAGAATGCGTTTTTACATCAGTAGGTGTTAGAAAATTGAATTAAATGTTATATATTGTAATTAGAATTGTTACTAAATTCAGTATAACATTTTTAAAGGGACTCTGCATTTCCTCCGATTAAAAATCAAATGTCCAACCATAGTTTCAAATAAATGATAGAAGGCCCAACAGTCCAGCCAGTGTAACTTCATTTAGTCTTTTATTTATGAAAGTGTGGACAATGACATCTTACTCTGAGAAGACAACAGAGGTTAATGAATATTATTAATCAATAATAAACATGATGGGACGCCTTGTCTCGTATCAAAATGCCTTTGTACACAATGAGAAGCAGGAGAAAGCGTAAAATAAAGTCGTCTGAGTCACTTGCAGTCCATAATTTTGGCCTGACGGGCGCATTAAATCACGCTGTACAGAGTAATAATGGTAGGAAAAGCTTATTTCAGTCTTGCAATGAAATTAATCCTTTTTTTCAAAGTCATCAGCATGCTTCAGTGACGTTATATTTAGAAATTAAGTGGTCACAATTCTTGGATTAAATTGCTTCCGCTTCTCATTTGACTTGTTCTCATCCCAATGTGATCTTCTGGTTCGGTATAACTTTTTAAAAATGTTTTTATTTCTTATTTTTTTGCACACAACATCCAGATAGTCAGCAATTATTATCGGGAAAAGGGGTCTTACAGTGTCCTTGGCGAGAAAACCACAGAAAAACGTCCCCGTGTGTGTCCTTTCTTGTCTCTAAAATGGCAACGTGTCGAGGAATAACTTATCTATGATGGCTGGTGGCGGCACCAGATCCTCCAGCTTCAGGTAGAAAATCCTCTGCAGGCCCTGGATGCACAGAGTGCGAAGTTCCGGCAGCTTTTCCAAAAGTCTGGACAAATGATTGGACCAACAGCTCGAGCCTCCATCCGCGCTTGTCCCGCCGTCCTTCAAGCACCTGACCACGCTGCTCTGTAGCTCCTCAACTTTCTTTGGCTCCTTCAGTCCATGCCGCTCTGTAGAGAATTAAATACAAAATTAACTAACTTTACAAAGTTAACCAGGAAATATTGAATTATTTTATTACCTTTTAACTAGTGCTACAATAATTTCATTAAATAAAATTACTACTTGTAAATCAGACTTTTGGTAGCTACATTCATCTCAAGGCTTTTGTTCTAAAATAACAAAGAATGTGAACTTTTTAAAATTCAGTTTTATCAACCAAATTTCAACCATTCAATTCATCTTATAAATCGCATATTATATAAGATTGTTTTGCTTGGGTATAATTTTCAATCCTTTTCCAGTCATTATGTTTAGCTAAGATTTTGCCATGCTATCTGTTACTGCTGGTTAGCAAATAGGTTTGACTAATTATATTAATAATTTATTTAATTAATTTTAAAGCCCACTTATCAGGCCTCAACTTAGCTAACAAACTCATTTGTCTCAAACTTTTAGCTATTTCAACTAGTTTTCTTTTACTATTTCAAATTAGCTTTAGCTAGTTTTTCTACCCAATTACTTGTAGCTAACCTTTTAGTAGTCATGTTTAGCTAATTATGCTAACTATCCATTAATTCTAATAACATTTTAAAAACTATTTATCCCATATTAACTTTTTTTTAAAATTAATTATATGAACCACATTTCAACCATTATCATATAAATTGTAAACTAAAGAGATTTTTGTTTAGGTAGAAGTGTCAGTGCTTTTCCAATCATTACTGTCTGTAATTAATAATTAATAATCTGTAATCTGTTAATTAGCTTATAAGTTTAGCTAATTATCGCAACCATTTATCCAATAAATTTAATTAAACATTTTTTAAGCCTCTAGTTGTTGCTAACAAATCTATTTAAACAATTTAGTTTTATCAATTCTGTTTTCTTTATTTCAACCACTTTTTTAAAAAACTAATTACACTATTAAATTACCTTAAACTAATTATTCCCCAAAAGTTTTTGTTTTTACCATTTTTGTTATTTTAAAAGATTCTATGTAATATTACGTCTTTGCTTTTAGCTAATTTTAGCTGTTGTCTTTACTTTTTCTCAGTCATATTTAGCTAATAGAAACGTATCCATTACATTTAAATCATTTTTAAGATATTTATCTATTTTAAGTAGAAAGTTAGTTATTATAATTTGCTAACTATTTCAACCATAATTAAATGACTAAAATTTATTCATAACTTTTATCAACAAGTTGTCAAACAAACTATTGTTTTGTTGTTGTTTGTTGTTTGTTTCACTATTTCCAGCCATTACCCTTTACTTTGGGCTAATTACTTGGAACTTTTAGATAACTATTTAAACTAGTTACACTAATTATTGCACTTATTGTTCTACATGATGTCACAAATTATGTAAAATTCCACACCTTTTGCCAAGTTTCGCATATTATGTCTACGCATTTTTACTTGATCAGAAGAAAAAATGCTTTTGATTAGGATTACATTCAGGGTAAGTACCCGAAATCCTCAACTTGGCAAGATAAAATGCAAAATTGTGATTTTATATAACAGGAATTGCTTTAGCTATTTTTTTCTATTAGTTTTAAGTGTTTCAGCTGATTATAATTTAAAATATTTCTGCTAATGTCGTATCCAGTTATCTGTCATTTCACATGTTCAGATGTTACCCTGACTCATCAAAAGGATATCTTTTTTTCTTACTGAAATCTAATCTTTCTTTATTATTTAGAAATTACTTAGTTGAGCTACAAGAAAATTGGTCAATCAGTATTGCAGGTACCATTGACTGGAAAATAGTCATGACATAAGACAGAGAAAGTAAATCAATAACAATCAGTCCAGCTTACTTGTCATCCCTTAAACATGTGGTTCACATTCAGGAAAGTTTATCCTCAGTAAATTAAAGCTGCCATCCTTCATCATCCTGCCATGATTTAAAAATGTGACTGATTATACAATATTGTTCTTTTATCTTTATTTTGATTTTTCTTTTTTTTAAACTGGAGCTGTGTTAATGACAAAAAAAGATTGTAAATGGTAACATTCCCATGTTGAATATTATCAAAATAGATAATCCAGGGTCACTTGAATGTAGCATTTATCGGTTATGTCTTTAAGCTTTGTAAACTGCATGAAGCGGAAAATGTTCTTGGACGTCTCACCGGTGACCAGTGCGAGGGTGCATATACAGGAGAAGGTGGAGACGTCCAGGTTCATCCTCTGCAGATTGGCAGAAAATTCAACAATGCTGTCAATCCATTCCCCAAAGCCCCGCAGACACTGGAGCCGGTGCCACACTGACCCATCACAGAAGATCAGTTTCCCTTCTTCTGGGTTGGATCTGAAATGTTACAACAGCCTGTGGTTAACGTGTGAAGCTGGAGGGCAGAGGTGAATAAATAAATAAGTAAATAGGCAAATAAATGCTATATAAAATGTGTAAAAGGTTATTTACCTGTACGACAACCGTAAAACAAAAAGTTCCAGGAAGGCAGAGTAGAAGAGAAGGTCTTGGTCATGTTTAGGTAGAGAGGTGAAACCCGGGATCTTCTGCGCCCAACCCCGAATAACCTCTATCGATCTGGTCAGGAGGTCATAAAACTGGCGGACATGCTGAGCATCGTCTCCTGGGGGACTTCCTGGATTCTCTTTAAACTGCATTTAAAGGTCACCGGTCGGATCAAATTGGAATGAAGGAGGATACCAATGATTATAACTCTACTATGTCTTAGTCTTTTATCAACAGTGTCAGTTCTACTTACTTTGGAGTAGTCCAGGCGAGAAGGTGGAGGATTGGACTCCACATGCGCCCTGATGAGGGCGCTCAGGAGGGCGCTGCCAGGTGAGGAGGCGTCTGGAAGAGCTCTGGGTTTGGACGGCAAGCGACCCCTTCGACCTTTCAGGCTGTCTGTCCTCACCACTGCAGAGTAAAGGATGAAGAGGGCGACACTTTTCAGCTCTGACCTCCTAAACAGCACCAAGAATAATGGTTTAAGAAGCTTTTTGTCTCTATCGGTTTACCTTCTTTGACCATTCCCACTGCGAGGCACTTCTGGAAACGGCAATATTGGCATCGGTTCCTTCTGCGTTTGTCCACAGGGCAGCTTTTGGCAGCCAAGCACACATACTTGGCATTTTTTTGCACTGTGCGCTGCACAGAGAGAAGAAAAATCTGCATATTACTCTATATACATTTTGAAAAATACAATCCTGCACTTTAATAGGTTCATGGCTCTCGGGCTGAGGTGTGGTTGAATTTACATCAGTCTTCTTCCTGATCCAGCAAACACACCTGATGGTTAAAGGAGTCTTTGGTTAATAAAAATCTGACTTGTTGGTGTGTTTCTTAAAAACTTAAAACAACTTTCAGTGCTCTAAACACATCTACCACTTGCTGCTGTTCACTAAAACTTTACACAGTACCTTTTCTTTTTCTAATAAGAGATTTTTGGAAATTTTCTTGTAAAATTTTCAAATTAAAGCACAATTTTGGTCTCTAGAAACGTGTGCTGGTGGATTAGTCTGAAATATGGAGCCATATGGATCTTTTAAAAGATCTAATATGAGAAAAAGGAACAAAAAAAAAGGTCCCTATGAAAGAAACAACAAGAAGAGACATAACAATAGTAATAGCGGACTTTTTTTTTTATAAACATAGTGTCATGACAATACATCTCAGAGGGCTCATTGTTTAAAAAAAATACTTTTGAGCCATTTTAGAAAGATAAGAAAGGTAAAAGTAACCTAACAAAGGGGTTAAATTGTTCCTTCAAAATTAACAGCAGCACTCTTGCTCCTGTGGGCCATCTGAGGCACTGAGCAGTCGGACAGGCAAGTCTGGGTAAATAGAGGGTCGTGGTCATTCATAATTTGGAGATTGGCCCCGGGGAATCTCCCAGTGAGAGACGAAGGGGAAGGTTTTGATTCACGGCACGTTGGTGGCCATTTTCATACAGGACATTTGCGACGTTTAACGCGCGTGTCAAGAGACCAAGAGAACAAAACGTGCCTCTGGAGTCTAATGTCCAATTTAGAAGGCCGGTCAGAGCTCCCCGGGGGAAGCTTTATATTATAGCCAATTACTTGGAATTAGAGTTGCATTATGGGATATAATTCCCGTGGGTGTGTTGTTATTTTTTCATCGTATTTTCACAGAAATGATGGAAGACTTTTGTGCTAAAAAAAAAAAAGGGAGTAAATATCCATAAAAACAACTTTCAGATCTTCAGAGTTTCCTTTAAAACTGCAGATTTGTATTAAACCTTCACTGAAAACAAACCTTGAAGAACCCCTTGCAGCCCTCGCAGGTGCGCACTCCGTAGTGCTGGCAGGCTGCGTTATCCCCGCATACCGCGCACACCCCCTCTGAGCTCAGCGGTCCTCGGCCGGGCGCAGAAGAAGTCTGGTATTCCATAAAGTGGTGGCCGTGCGCGAGATGGAGTGGGTGAGCAAATCCAACACCGCTCTGTTTGCACAGGCCGGTGGAGCCCAAAACGGTGGGTGTTTCCAGCTGCTGGTGCGCCAGAGCTCCGTCAAACTTCACCTGGCACGTGGACAAACTCTGGCCGTCGTGTTGCGCGTGTTTTAGGGACAGCAGGGAAAACCTGGACAGCGCGTTTTTCCTGTGCGCCGCCAAATAGTCCTGCCGAAAGCTGTACAGGGAGCCGGAGTCCTCCCAAATGTGTCCCGACGGAAGCTGGAAGTTGGGCGTGAGGGAGGAGTGCGGGGAGGGGGAGCGGTAGTAATAAACGGGACTCGGGGAAGAAAGGAGCTCGTCTGACTGGTGCGCAGGGTGCTGATTTGGCTGATAGCGCGGGCACCCGTGCGCATCCTCCACCTTGACGCACGGCAGCTCCCCCTGGACCTGCATCTGAAACAGACACGGGGGCTTTACGTCGTACCCGGAGCCGTAAGAGTCCGCCAGGGGGCCGAAGGTGGGGCCCGAGGCTCCAGCCGACACTTCACTGTTAGTAAGATCCATGCTGAACTTGACAAACTCCGGAGTGAGGAAGTCGCAGCTGCGCTCTCCGCCGGAGCTCTGGGAGGCTGGGCTGGCTCCTTGAGGCGACGAGCCGCACTGGGTCTGGACGCACGGCATGATCACTGCAACAACACACGCAGATGATGAGACGTGTTTAAAAGTGCGATAAAGTGATGCTCTAGCGAGACAATGTCGCTGGAATTCACCGTCAATGCTTTTTTGTTGATATATTTAATTATAATATTTTTTAAATGTGGAAACAAGCAAACTCACCTTACAATTGATTTTCCACAACCTCCTATTGTGCCCCAAACTTCTCCTGGCACGAAACAGAAACAACAGATAATTTGTTAGCGAGCCCAGTCCCCCCATTTAAACTCAAAAGAGTAACATTTCCACTACCTTAGATGTGGATCCAGTGCGGGAGGACGCTGGTGAGTAATCCCATCCCTACTGTGTTGCTGCTCGTGGATCTTCTGAAGCTCTCTGGCTGCATGGACGGAGCAATGGAAATGACTGTTCACTTCAGCCACTCTTTGGCTTTGCAGACTGGCTGCCAGTGGCACCGACAATGTGCTTTTGTTTACGTGCTTACGCGCTCCAAACCCCATTACGCACGCACTGGCCACAGAGGGGTGGTGTGAGTGAGTGTATGTGTGAGTATGTGTGTGTGTGTGTGGTTAGAAAGCGGCTCAGTGAATTTGGAAATTATGTTTATAATTAAGTTTAATGTAGTTTTAATAGATGTGCGGCTGCAGTGAGGGATTCAGATTGGACTTATCTAGTGGTAAACGTGTGTAAAAGTATATAAAAGTACACTTTTTATGTAGTTTTTAAACACACAAGAATACTACTACACATGCTTTAATCTGCAGGGTGCTTGGTTTACTTATATGTGCACGCCTTCTGTCCTAAATAACAGAGGAAACGACAGCTGGCTCGTTATTATTATCCCCAAGGAGGATGAAGAAAAGAGCGGAGTTGCGCAATCCTGCCTCTGCCTTACATCAATTTACGTGGCACTGCCTTCGCTCGAACCCAATTGGACGGTCTCAGCCGAGCTCCGCCCTCCGATTGGCTCTCCCCGACGTCGCTCGACGTACCCGCCGGACTTCCTGGTTGTAGCTGTCAAGCGCTCACTCAAGCTACGGTTTGGATAGCTACCGATGCCCCCAGTTGCCGCCCTGCATCGCCCCGAGCGACTTTTATCCAGCCACGAAGCACCAAGTCTTGTAAGTGGGAATGTTTGTTGTGTCACCCGGTGATTTTCGGACATTTTAAAGCCGCTCTAAATGATTGGCTAACCCGTGTTTTTCTTTTCTTTCCCGACCCCAATAAAGGAAAAAAAGCAGAACATCTGCGAATTTTTCTTCGCTAGCCGCTATAGGGCTGAGAGACTACCCTTCAGTTTTATCGTGTTCGTGGAGCTAAACACGGGCCATATTTACGTGTCTTTTTAGGCTATTTAAGCCCGCATGAACGGCTAAATATTTCACACACCCTTTGAAGTGTATGTAGCCTTCTTCTTCTTCTTCTTCTTCTTCTTTTTTATTTTTTACAACGTAAAGGCGAAGGTCGATAGTAATTTCCCCCCCTCACAGACCACACCGACACTGATCGCTTACATTTTGATCCACGGCAGGACAACAGTTAAAGATCAAACCGACTTCCTCTTGTGTGGCCCGGCGTACCTGCATCGGTATACCACCACCTGCTGTTAAAAGCAAACACTCCCAAGTAGGACATTTTGGATTAAAAGAAAAAGCCACAAATTTCACGTGTTTCCTCATAAAAATCACCCCCCTCCTCCTCTTCCGCATTCATAATGAGCCTGCAGGCTGCTCTAAGTGAAAGCTGGTGACTTTCCCCAGTGACACGAAGAAGAAGAGGCTTCTACCTGCCAGTAGTGGCATGAATATGGTGTGCCATGTTAATAACGTAGAGTTTAAGAGTCCTAGTTGCTTCACTCACAAAATCAGGGGTGTCAAACCTGAGGTCCGGGGGCCAGAATCGGCCTGGACTCCAACGGTCAACTTCAAAAAGCATGAATGAGGGTGTAAATTTTGGCCTTTTAACTATATTGCAAAGGTTTTAGTTTTATCTTAACTGATAAACACCTCCCACATGGCCATTCATGCTACACCAAAGTAAATAGCTATGTAATAGATTTTTTTAATGATGATAAAGTTTGTTTTTTTGTATCTACCAAAATGTTTTTCTTTACAATGGATTCAATTACATTAAATTTTGTTTATATAGGGACAAATCACATCAACAGTTGCCTGAAGGCATTTAATAAAGGGTATTAAGCATACATTGTGTATCCAATGTACACATGGCTGAATTTACACATTTATTTCTTACAGTTTAAGCCCTTACATCTTTTTTTCTTACAAATTAAGAGTCGTGGTGACAGATTTCTTTCATTCATCGATCATGCACTTTTCCTTCCCTTGTATTACAATATCTCAAGGGTTAAGTTAGTAGTTAAACTAGTTGTGCTGGTCTAGCCAATTTCAGGTCAAAGTGGGCTGTATCTGACCCACGATGTAAAATGAGTTTGACATCACAGCACTAAAGGAGGCACCGATTGTGAAAGTCTGGGCTAGTGCTCATGTTTTAAAATACCAGATTGCCCCACACAGCTGGTGCAATACCATGTCTTTCAGGGTTTTTTGTTAATTGGTATAATTTATTCCTGTCTGTGAGAAACAAACTAGTATTTAATCTTTGAACACGTAGCCAGCACAAACATAGCATGACATTTGTACACTTTTGGAAAAGATTTTTTTCTTTTTGGAAAAAGGAAAAAAGTGGAACGATGAAGCAACTGGTCTCATTGCGAAACTTCAGGCTAATTATTTTCATCGTCACTTTGTTGCCGTCCACATTATGGGGACCAGTGATGTGGACCACAAATGGGACCTTAATCTTCAAAATTAGCATCATGTTCTTTTAAGTAATGATTTAAACTTGTGATTGGGACCATAAACATATTAGAATAGCTTACTGAGGCCATAGGTCAAGGAAGACCTATCAGGGCTGTCAGATTTGCTTTTGAAAGTAGGAAATTCGCCCCCTGCTGGACTTTTGGAGGCAATAAATTGCACACTGAGCTAAATTTGTCAGACTCACCTAGTCTTAATGCAGGTTTTCACACAGATTGTGTAATTTAGCCAAGTTAAAGTTAACATAGCGAACTTGTGCTTTGTTAATTGATAACTGGCTGTTGGGTAATTGCTAATAAATGGTAAATGGCCTGTATTTGTATAGCGCTTTACTAGTCCCTAAGGACCCCAAAGCGCTTTACACATCCGGTCATCCACCCATTCACACACTGGTGATGGTAAGCTACATTGTAGCCACTGCCACCCTGGGGCGCACTGACAGAAGCGAGGCTGCCGGATACTGGCGCCACCCTTTGACCACCACCATTAGGCAACGGGGGGAAGTGTCTTGCCCAAGGACACAACGACCGAGACTGTCCAAGCCGGAGCTCGAACCGGCAATCTTCCGATTACAAGGCGAACTCCCAACTCTTGAGCCACGATTGCCATTAATAGTTAAACCCAGTCAACAAGTAAGATGGCATTTACTGATCTACCCGCTCTCTGGGTCTGTCCCTTGGCTTCTTTCCATCCAGGCTTACTTGGAAACTTTCAAAGGGAGGCGCTGTTTAGATACCACACCACATCAGCTGGCTCATTTTGACGTGAAGGTTCAGAAGCTTTACTTCGACTAAAATCTTTTTTCAAAGACTGCTTGAAGCCCTGTAGAGTCCATGCGTATTTGGTACATTGTGGTGTAATAACTAGAAGATAAAATGCAGACTGGGATTGGACATTTCAAGCAAAATGACTGTTTGTTTGATTTTGTTGTCTTTTGAACATGTTTTAATTCACCCAAACAAAATTCAGAAGAAGGCAAACTTCAGCCTGACTTATAGGTGTGAAAAAAGTTGGTACTGTTATTAATTTGTAGTTGTTGTTTTGAGAGGAAAAGTTTAGAATTTGGTCAAAAGTTGGCAGTAAAAATAATAAAAGACAGCGTTTGTGTGGCTAATGTCCGGCTGCCACAGTGGTATGCTACATGTAATAGGTCATTAATTACAGCAAACTGCTTGTTGACCTTTGGGCCATCTGCTTTATTAAAATGCATTAGAATCTGCTGCGGTGCACTGCGCTCCCTGGAAACTTGTTTTTCGGCGTACGTTACAGTAGGAATGCAAATACTTTACTGGGGCTCACCTGACGGGAATTGAAGCTCGTGGGCCGGCGTGCAGAGCAATGTGTGTCACGCCGTGCTCGTTACGGCACAGACTCATTATCAGAATATTAAAGAGTTAACAGCATCAGATTCATTGGGGATCAATTTTAGTTCCATTTTATTCAAGTATTATTTTCTCTGATGTAACCTGTAAAACCTGACCAGATGACCTTTAATTATAGTTATTTACTGCATGTAACCTGGTTAGACTTCATACTTCCTTTGTCAGAGAGCTGAAGAAATTATATTTTTTGGCATGTTATGCATTTGATGCTAAATAGTTCTGCTTCTTCTTTGCTGAGATTTGCTGCTTTTTTCTTTGTTAAACATCAGCACTTACTATTTGTTACCCTTTTATACACGATCATTACACAATCATCGTGTAATGTGAGGCAGTAATCGATGGGTAGATTAATGATGAAACTGTTCATTCTATAGTCACTTTTTACACAGGTAGAATTACACTTAGTGGTCAAAGGTTTGTGGACATCTAAACGATTTACTGATATGTTCCAGTAGAAATGGAATTTGGATTCACATTCAGGCGTTTTCTTGGTTGAGAGTGAGCATTTTGTTCCACGTAACTAAAATTCATACTTGTTAGAAATAACAGTGATCACCTATTTAGCTCCCCAGGCAACCGCTATGATGTAAGGCTAATGAAGAGGCCTGCCCCAAGGCCATTTAATGTAAGTCTTCTGATCTTTTTCTCCTGAAGGTTTTATGTCTTCTCTCATCTGAGCTAGAAATTCCAAAATATGTGTTTTTTTCTTCGTTATTTAAACTTAATAAATAAATAAATAAACTTGGTGTTTTCCTTTAGTGGGATGCCAAAACATTTTTGAGTGGTCAGGAAAAATGCTGATATTGTTGTAGAAATAAGCCGTCGCATTAGGATCCACATCGAATTGAACATGTGGACACTACATGTCACATCTCAGCTTATAATCTTTAGCATTGTTTGAAGTAAAACAGGTTTTAGCTGCTATTGCCACGGTTCAGCAGTGTGGAAGGCAAGACGTTGATCCCAATGCAAGACTCAGGAGACAGGACTTGATAAAATCACAGCTTTATTGCTAGCAGTCCATTAAAAACAAAAGGCCAAAAATATGCTGAACAGGGAACTTACTTGGAGGAAAAGTCAGTGAGTGCTGGACAGTGAAAACACACTTCCATGTGGGGGAGGACACAACAAAAAACAAAGAGAGACTCCGAAAATAAATCTGCAACAGGCAACTAGGGAGATGGGAAACACCAGGGAACACAACTGCAATAAATCAGGTAAAATAGGGAAGGTAAAACTCAATACGAGGTACACAAGACTATCAAAATAAAACATGGCTAACACTGAGACGCTCTAAGGCATGCAGACTTGACGCAAATAAGCAAACATAGAAACACGATAGAAACAGAATGAAATTCCAAAAAGGGGAAAGCCAGACAACCACAGGAACCCAACTAAGGAAACAGAAAGACATCACAAAAATGATGACTAAATATTACAATACCAAGAAGATGAAGTGGAATATAAAGAGAGGCTGTTGACAGAGGATAAAATAAATGATGAGGGAAAATAGCAAAAACACTGATGATTTTCAAAAACAAAAGGAGCCACTAAACCAGCAGAGAAACACAAAAGCCATGACAGCTGTCATTAAAGATAAAATCAACCTAAGTGACTTCCTAGGATCAGGTCTGTTTTTGCATGTTTAAAGGACTCAGAAGAGCGCCTGAAACTTGAAGTTTTCACAGCTCTCCTGGTTTTCCTCC